AGTGAGGACAGAGCATGGATATGTAGGTTGTATATCCACATATATCCTCTTGGGCCTTGAGTGGATGATACTTAGCTCCTTTGATTTCTAGCAAAATAACATAAGGATATTTGTAGTACTTATATTTACTAAGGGTTTTGGGAAGCAGTACAGCAGTTCAAACAACCTCGAATAGAATGTTAGATAACCCTTTGCGCAAGAGTTTTTAAAAAAATGCATATATTTCTTTATTGATTTCAGTGAGGAAGGGAAGAGAGAGATAGAAACATCAATGATGAGAGTCATTGATCAGCTGCCTTATGCACGCCCCCTACTGGGGATCTAGCATGTGTCCTGAGCTGGAATTGTACTGTGACCTTTCGGTTCATAGGTTGACACTCAACCACTGAGCCACACTGGCTGGGCCACAATAGTTTTTGAGGAATGGACCCTCCACTTGGGTGTGCCACTGACAGCTCTAGCCTTGTGCTGGCCCAGCCCAAGGACAGTGCTTTGGTTTATCTCTTTCTCTTCCCTTTCCCATATCACCCCTCAATGCTACCAGTCTGGAAATGTTCCAACTCAAGGTGTGTCTCTCTCTATTGTACATTCACACTTCCTACATGCTCACCTTTGCAGATCCAAACTAATCAAATGTTCAAACAAATCTAATGGACTTCCAGTTAACAAGATGCTCCCTAATTGAACAGTAATTGTGGTTGTCAATAGTATCTCTGCTATTCATTCTACCTGCTTAAACTCTTGCAGGTCAGCTTTCAATCTGAGTGATAATCAATGATGAACACCATCCTCAAAATGACAAATATTTATTGAGTATTCATAGTTTACCAGGCATTGAGCTAAGTTAGTACTTTATTTACATTCTCCATATTAGAAATGAAGATTGAGACTCAAAGAGAATGAAGAGCTTAGCCCACAGCTAAAAGTCAGTGTGTGCTCTTAGTTACCTGAACACTTCCCAACAAATATTTTCTGAACAGCCGTTATGGACTAGACTAGACACTCCTAATCACAATGTACAGATGGTTAGCAAGGAATTCATGGTACCTGCCCTCATGAAGGATTTTCCCTGTAAAGAAAATAGACAAATAGGAAAACAGAAGCAGATGACAACCTATGCCAGTGATAGCGAACCTTTTGAGCTCGGCGTGTCAGCATTTTGAAAAACCCTATCTTAACTCTAGTGCCCTGTCACATATAGAACTTTTTTGATATTTACAACCATAGTAAAACAAAGGTTTATATTTTTGACATTTATGTTATATATTTAAATGCCATTTAACAAAGAAAAATCAACCAAAAAAATGAGTTCGCGTGTCACCTCTGACACACGTGTCATAGGTTCGCCATCACTGACCTATGCAGAAAATACATCCGGTGATGGGGGGTTCCAGTGGGGGAGACATTCAATTGTGTGGTCAGAGAAGGTTTGTGTTGATACTTTGAGGCAAGATGGAGCTTGATGAATTGAAGAAACTGAGTTAAGTCCAGTGTGACTGGAACAAAGAGAAAAGGACTCTATAAAGAGTCCTTTAAAGATTAAGGATTTTGATCCTGAAAATGATGAGAAGTCTTTGAAGTTTGAAAGCTGGAGAGTCTCATAGCATTATTTGAATTTTTTATAGACCCTTTTGGTTGTTTTGTAAAGAATATGTTGGAGGAGGACAAAACTGGATTGGGGAATTACTAGAAAGCTATTGTTCTGGTCTCCATAAAAGATCATGGTGGCTTGCACTGGGGTAGGTTGATGGAAATTGATAGAAATGATGGATTTAAGAGATTTTTTTCAGAAGGTGACATTGATGTGACAACTTGTCACATGTGCTAAATATTGGATAAGTGTTTAAGTTCCTTCTAACCTGTAAACCTCCTAAGACCAGGAGCCATTGTCTTGTTCACTGTTCTACCACCAGGGGGTATGACACTGATAGGTGGCCCTAAGTAAATATCAATTGTGAACATGTGATTGAGCAAATAAATAAAGAAGTGCAGCACAATAATTCACCACATTCTGCTATCTCAAGTGCCTTAACTAAATAATTGAAATACAGAGTAAAATTACCGTGAGAGGTAATTTTCTTAATTTTCATTATTGAAGGTTAATGAATTTTTTTTTTCTTCCTCTGACTGTATGGCTTCCTGGATGGGAGACCATTTAAGCAGAAAAAAAATTTGACAGTGTTGCTTTCATACATCATAGATACCGGTATATCTGCACAATTCTAGGGAGGAATTTAGAAAAGGGCAAGGTATGGGGATAAAATAGAAACTGTCACATCAAAAGGATTTTGGGTTATGATAGTTTACATGAATACTTTAAAATTAGATTTGGGGGAAAAAACTGAATTTTTAAAAATGCATCTAAAATACGAATTTTGGAAGAATAAGAAATTCTGAATGAAGAAGAAAAGAACCTTATTTTTAAATATCAATGAGAAATGTGTAAATGATAGTTAAAAATATCTGAAGAGGACTACTTTATGAATAATAATAGCACATAGCCAATATTTATTCAATTTCTATAGTCCAACATGAAGTTTAAAATCATAATGGAATACTCATAGGGAAGTAGGGTAAATTGACAGAAGTGTTTCCAGTGGAAATATACTAACCATACACTGTTGAATAAAGGCCAAAATCTGCATTAAAATAAGAACATTCTTCGGACTCAAAAAATTACAGGCCTCATTTTTGTGGGTTGAAGTGTTTGGATAGCTTGATAAGGAGATTATATAATTCCCTTATAGGGATATTTACTTAGTATTGTTTTTATTATGTAGCTGTAACAGATGACAAATGTAACTTCGGTAATAGGAAATAAAATGACAGCTATATCCCTGGATGGCCAAAGCTGTGAGGCCAAGAAGTTATAGAAATCTTCATGTCTTTCCATTTTCTCGTATATGATCAAGACCCTGCCTTTTCTGCCAGGTCTGCATGCTGCCTGTGATGAGGAGGTCAAGAATAACCCTGTGAATACTATTCACAATCCTCGCTGCATTGTTTGAGTTAGCCAAAACTTAGATATCTTTTTACCAAAAAAACAGTCCCAACAAATATTGAACTTTAAAACATTTACATTACTTGAAATTCTTCATGATCATAGTTATGTGTGTTTTTTCACATACATAAGCTATATTATGTTAGGCTTTTAAATGTAAGACTATTTCATATAAACATTTCCAAGTTCTGCCATTATCTAAAGATTTATAATTTAAAAAAAATATATAGTAGTATTCAACAAAGCATAATGGCAGATGCTATTTCAGATTTATTAAAATATGTATAGACTCAGACCGCTCCCCTAAATGTGTTATTTGTCCTAACTTGAAAGTGTATACTGGAAGAACAGTATTAACTTTCATATGATCCTTTTCCAGAAAAGTAACATTTTCAAATGTGCATCATATAATGAACTTAAATATAAATAGCATTCTTTCAAGCATATTTTTTTGAGAGCCATATAAAAAATGTCAAACCAAGATGTTAGGCATGAGGTTATTTTAATGTTATCCTTAGTGGCTCACGTAAGGATGACCCTGCTGGCCTCCTAGCTCTCTCCCTTTGGAGTCGGGTGGAATGGAACAGTCTCCTTTATGTTCTGACCCAGCTACGTGTCATTTGGAGAGCCTCACGCATGCCCGGGGCCTGCCTTGCGGGTCCCAGAGAATGATCCATGGGTGGACTCCTGTCAGCATTTTGCTGCAGGTTATAGAAGGAATTTCAAATTGGGTGGTACTATGCAAATATTCTCTGAGAAATTTTGGTATTGCCTTCCTGTTTATTTTTTACATTTTCTGAACTCTTATTTAATACTTTATATTCTTGTCCTGGGACTTTTCTATAGGGTAAAAACTCTCTTTGCACAACATATTTTGCAGAGGACATCTTTGCTTAGGCCAGGTTGTTAAATGAAAGAATTTAGCCTTAATCGTATATGTACTTTATAATTTTACCCCAATTTTTTTTTAAAAATGAAGCTATAGGGTCAGGATTGGTAAAATATGAAATTGTAGAAATTTTTAACCTCGTGGGGTTTTTAGCCTTAAGACTAAATATTTCATTTTAAAAATGAAATACTGAATAAAAAGTTTGCTTTCATCCAAAGTATATGCTTAAAATGTTTAATTAGATTAAAACCCAAAAAATTGGGGGTAGCCTTGTGTTACACTTTTTCTAGAGCTTGACCAGAACCTTTCTAGGAAAAATGAAAATTAATTTTAAATACTGAAGTTAAAGCATTTTAGTGAAGCAAATCAAAACAGACAAATTTCTAATTTTACCCATCTCCCCACTTTTTATCATCATTTGACTCCAGTTCACAGGGTGTAAACTGACATTTTGACATTTCCTCAAAAGATGAGGCAAAATATACATTGTATATCCATTAATCTGCGTCCTTGCTTTTTTTTTTTTTTTTTTTTTGACAATAATGGAATTGCCTGAGTATCTCGAGAGTTTGGAAGTTTACAGTGAATGGGAGCGTGTATTCCAAGGGTGTGCACCAGCCTCATGCACTCCACCCTTGGAACTATAGTGTAAGCTCCTTCTTAATTAAACACTGTCACAGTAATAAATCTATGCATATTGTGACACTTAGGCATGCCAGAGATTCAATGTTAACTTTATCTACTTTCCAAAAGGAGAAGCAACTATTTTAATACATTTGAAAATTACATTGCAAACAAATACTTTTTTCATTATGTTCCACCCAGGTGCAAACTGGTTAAATTTGACTCAAGATACATGATCCCCTGGGATAATTTTTCTTCCCTCTTTTTCTTTTGTCCCTCACTCTTAAAAAGTCATGATATAGAAAAAAAAAACTTTGTTTTTTGAGTAGAATTATTAGAAACATTTATTCTTTGTCCAGCATCAGACTTGCAGTTCTGTGTTTTGTTATATTGATCACAGGGTGCTGCAAAGCTGTGTGCAATTAATGTCAAGGGCAGTAATTTACTGACAACAGTTAGGAAAAGAGAACTATAGAGAGCACAGGAGCATTTTCAGAAATGGGTTTTATTATATTTCATAGGCACTACTCACTTTACTTTTGGTGGGTTTCAATATTTGAATCAAAAGAATAATAATAATAATAATAATAATACATACGAGTTAAGTATTAAACCAACAGATGAAAAACCCAGGCCTTCCCCCCGAACCCCTCATTTTGGTTGTAGCTCTTGGTGTAGATGCTATGGTGTGAGGGCTGCTTTCTTTCAATGGCTGGTTGTCATTCAGGCTGGGTTGTCATGTGACTGCCTGTCTGTGCCTGCTGTACAGGTGAGCGGATGTTCTGCACAGCAAGTGTAGACAGGCAGACACATGACAACTCCGTCCAGCCAGGCCCTTGGTTCCTTCAGGTTTCCTTTGCTCATGGGCAGAAACAGTCAGTCTGTTTTCCAGATTTGGTGAATTTGGAGGGTCAGGGGGAAAGGGAGAAAAACACACAATAGAATTAAACATTAAAACATTATGGAACTAAAAACAAGTTAGACTTTCGACTTTATTCAGAAAGTACACTTATACATTCGTTCCCAATGTGCTAACATGGATCATTGACTTGACAGAAAACTCATATTGAAATTTTAAGGCAAAACCAAACAAACAAAAAAAGATTAAACACCAGGTTTATTCTTAACTCCAGTTCATGTTATTACTGGCCCATAATGCAGTCAGAGTTCAGAGTAATTGAACCAGATGTTTTTCCTCTTCCCCAAACTCTGCAAATTTTAATACTGAAGTTAAAGATAAAGACATGTTTATACATGTTTGTTGTAGTAGATAAGTACCATAACCTTCCCCATGAAAAAGAAACTTATCATTTACATGGAAATGGCAGCCATTTTAAAAATAATTAATGAGCCTAATGTATCTGGCAGTTCAACCAGCCGACCTTTGGGATTTTAACATGGGTTGTATTTTTACCAATATGTTATTAAAACAGGAACTTATTTAAATTTCTCATATTCTTTTTAATGCAGTTTTTAAGTATGGATGTGAAAACCAAATCAAAAGCAGTTGTGAACCTAAGTCCTCCGCTTCATTAACCATAGTGCCCTGCCATGAATCAAAAGGGTATAAACTACACAGCTGTTGGCCACAGAGTTGCTCACTCAGATTATGTTTTGGACCTTGTTAGTGCACTACTGTTACAAAACAGCCCCTTAAACACACAAAAAAACTTCATTTCATATCCAAAAAGTAAAACCAGGCCCTTTGGAAATTTCCTTATAACTCGTATGAGAGAAAGAGTGATGGTGTTAAATATACAGATAGAAAGTTTAATTCTGGTGAGTCTAAAATAACTCTACTGGCTCTTTTAAAATAAATGATCAATTCATACCCTGCCCTTTAAACAACAAAATCACCAGATAGTCAAAATTACAATAAGTGGGATTTCCTAAAACAACAACAAAAAAACATTATTGTCCAAGGAATATGTAATTAGGATTTTTTTTCAAAGAATTTTAAAGAAAATAAATAGTATATTTCCTGTTCACTGTAAAATTCTGAGAAAAATAGCAGATAGAAACTTTATGGAGAACAAAATAATTTTTAGAGGCTATGAAAAAATGAGTTTTGTACACAGCTAAACCTTTATGCAATGATTAGGTGTGCTACAGCTTTAACAAAGAGTTGAGAAGTGCAAGTTTCCATTTATTTAATTCCAAGAAAATAAATGTCTGATTCTGTTTCTGGTCATCACTTCTGAGTAGAGGACTTTTGTGTGTTTTTTCTTGAGAAAATCAAAAACATCAGTGAACTTGGCTGCCATTAAATAATTACAAGGTCAGAGTATGGGAAAACAAATACCTCAAGCAACTATTTTGTTATCGTTGCTGCATTCAGTGCAACAGAAAATATTTATAGAGTAATTCACTTACAAAGAGCATATTTGTAGAAATTAAAAATTACTGTAATTCGGTATAGCTTTCCCTCTCTCTCCCATAAATACTTTGATCCAGTTAACTCTGCTCAATTAAGGAATGATGTAACCTGGAAAAATAGAAAGAAAAATTTGTGAGTTCTTATGTTCTCTTTTAATGTGAAACAATTCTAGTAAACCAAGACCCCAAAATATCAGACCCTGAAATCCATAACTGTTTTTCAGGGTGGGGAAATCTTGCTGAAAAATGATTGCTCTTAAGACTTTGGGATAATTTATTTTTCTAATAGATTTTTAAAGCACACTTATAGTAAGTATGTGGCATCTGCATACCTCATAGCCATGTTAAATAGATGAAAGGTTTAAAAGACAATTAAGAGTGTTTTTCTGTCTTCCAAACTATAGAGTAAACATTAAAATTGGTTATCACTTAAAATAATAGCTAAAATATGAAAGAATTATATGTACATTATTATCATACAGTGTAATTTTCAATAAGGTCACTACTCTTTAGTTCTTTTTTTGTCTTTCATTTATTAAGAAAAAAATGCATGAAAATAATTATGTTCCAAGTCTTTAATAGCAACATTAAACCAAAGCAACTCCAGGAAACTGGCTGTTATAAGTCAGGAAATTCAAAATGAAGATTTAATTATTTTCCTTAATTGACTTCATTATTTCTATTAATTAAAACTGATAAAAATTCTCCAAAAAATGGGTAATTATTTTTGTCTACACAATTAGCAGCAAACCCAGGTAAAAAGGTAGAAGAAAGCAAGTAAGGAAGTTTTCATCTTTACTCAGAAATTTCTGTTTCCTTTCAGGGTGAGCCTGACCTTTAGTTATTTTAAGCTGGGATTTCTGAGTGATGGTTTTTTATGTGTTTGGACATTATTGTCATGGGTGGGATATTCTCTTTAGAGAAGAGGAAAGTGGGTTGTTTTTAAACAGCAGATCTCTTGTCGAGGAGCTGAAAGCTTTGGCTTCTTTCTTTACTAAGGATGACGCTGGTATCTGGTGGATCAGTGGACTTTTTACATTACCAAGCTGTATTTTACTTTATTTCCTGTAACAGCTTTACGACTTCAACGAGAAAAAAGAAAAAATTCTATCAGTAGGAATTTTATGCCTACACTCTTTCCCACAACGAAAAACTTGGGTGGTCTGTAGGCGAGAGGTGGGGGAGATAGTATATTTTGGTCTTTCAAAAACATAAACACATTATCTGGGTGGAAAGCCTGAAAGCCAAGCAGGAAGGGCATTAAATCTATTCACTAATTGCAGGAAAGTGATCGGTGTGAAATTTTGTCCCATTGTAAACAAACCTTGGATTTGGAGATCTATGGTTTAAAGAAAGGGGGGAGGGGGTGGGCTTGAAAATGTAAATAAACTGTTTTCTATTGATCCTCTCCCAATTAAGAAAATGTGTTGAAAGCTAAAGCTCTGAATTTCCTTTCTCTTAGATGGCAGAAAAAATTCTCTAACCCCAAACCTAGTCTAACTTATCAATCATCCACACACTGAAATGAAAAATAACTGCTAAGTTTCTGTGAAGTGCCCTTTGGATAGGCTCTGCAAACAATTTTCTCTTTCTTATGATATACAGTGTTTAATTTTGATACTTACACTTCCCATTTTATCCGCGAGCAGTTTTAGTCGAAGATGGTCACTGTTGGTTAATTTTCTCTGGAATAGATCCCATGATCCCTAAAATATTTGTATGTCTCCTTACAAAGTAATATCAGGATAAAATTAAGCATTATTCTACCCTGGAAATAAAGTTAGTTTACACTGAGTGTGCATACATGCTGGTGTAGGTCCCAGCGCACAATCGACCACCTGCCTTCAGTGAGCAGAGGTTTACAGAGTGAGCTTTTGCTTTTTTGATCTTGCATTGAGCTCATGCCAGTTAAAAAATAAGTATTATTCCTTTTCATTTGTTGAAAGTTGGCATAAAAAATGGGTAATCAGGACTCCAAGCACACGTAGGGGCTCCTCGGCTCCCCCCATACAAATTTATTCTTCTGTTTCTACTCCTGTACTTACGCAAGGACACCCTTGGGTCCCCTCCGTCTGCAAACTAAAAGTCATCTTAAGAGACGAAGTAGGTGAGGGGCTGATGGTAGTTAGTTTCTTTGAAATAAAAAAGCCATTTAATAATAATTAAAAAAGACATTTAAATTAAATATACATGAAATGAAAGTAAGTTATAAAATTCAATCATTTCTACAGAGTAAAAAAACAAAAACAAAAACAAAAACACACACCAAAAAAAACCCCTCAAAATTTGAGACATCTTAAACATTACCAAAGTACCCTATAACTATCCTCTTTTCTAACTGTATAAATTAGTAGAAATACATTTCTTTAAAAAAAAAAAAAATAAGCTCTGGTAAGTTATCTCATAGTTTCTCTTTTCAGTTTTCCTATGTAAAAGAAACTATATAGATTGAAAAAATCTCATTTGTTCAATGAAAAATAATTAATATGGAAGCCTCCAAGTCCCAATAGAAAACAAATCGTATCCTCTAAGTGGAGAGGATAGCTAAATTTCTCCCTTTTTATAATATTTTAACTCAAAAAAACCATGAATAGAAGAGAAAACGTGTGTTTTTTTTTATACCAGTTTTAGGATGATCAAAAGGGTAAATTTTAAAATAAATCATTTTGACAAAAGATAACGTTGGGAACCTTTTATAATAAACTTATGCAAAGGAGAATGTGTGACAGTTTTTGAATTGTTGCAAAATATATAACTTAGAAAAGGATTTGTTCAGGAACCACTGTAACTTTAAATAATTTAAGGGAGGACAAAAGAGATTATATTAATGTTTCAGATTAAGTCTATAGAACAGATCTTTCATTACATAGAATTGTTTGGGGGTATCTATAAATAGGGGGTTGAGGGAATTAGGGGTGAGGCAGTACCATTTTTCCAGAACTTTCCTTAAGGGACCCACCTCTGAAATTCAGTGTGGATCATATTGCAGCCCAGACTTTCTGTATTATTCTCTCTGTTGGGATTTCATTCAGTTTTCCTTCCTCCCACCTTCTTCTCCCTCCCTCCCTCCTTCACCTCCAGGACAGCTGGAAACTGACCAACAAAAACTTTGCCTTCCTTTACAAATTCCTTTTTTATCAGTGGCTTTCTAGACAAAGTACCTTATCATTTTAAATGCTCGGAGACATAGACACATTATAAAACCTAGGCATGAGGGCTCAGCTGACCAGCAATTATCAACCATTCTTGGATTTTAAAAACAACAACAACAAAAAACCCCCAGGGCTATATATTGGGATAGCTGAAGACAGAGGTTTCTATTTCACGGGTTATTCAGTTGCTGACTCAATAGTTCTGGGTTGGCGCTCTTTTCTGGGCAAGTCCCATCTGCGTGGTCTGGTGGGCAAAAAACTTGGCAGCCTACTCCGTTATTGTTAGATCCTGTTATTTTCGGTATTTGTCTTATATAAGTAAAATTTCAGAAAAGCACTATCCATAGAACATTTTAAACATTGCAAGTATTCTTTACTTTGGGGCAAAATGGAACCAATTCTAGGATATTCAAGTGATAGCACAGCCCTCATTCAACAGGTTTTTAGGTCTCTGAATTATTCCTTTTAGCCATTGAAAACTAGCCTTATTCAATTATTTTTAGTGTTTGGAGTCTTCGTATTTCATATTGAAGTGGAAAAATCTTTAAGCTTAAGAAAATACTTATAAATCTTCAGAAAGTGAGTGACTTACAGTAAACCACTATGTACCGCACCCCGTTGCCCTTTTACAATAAATGCATCGCTCTTGGCCACACAAATGCCTGTTTCTCCTCGCATGTGACACAAATCATTGGCTCCCACCTCAGCTCTCCCGGTCACAGCCCAGGTGAGCGGCAAGAGGGCCTTACCCGCAGGTCTTCCCTGGAGCAGTCTTTTCCCAGCGGTGTCCCCGAGGGCTTCTTGGTCCCTACTGTGCAAAACCTGTGAAGAAAAACACTGGATATGAGATACGAAAGAGGAGCCAACAAACATCCTCTCCTCGGAAACAGCCACTCTTGTCCCAGCCGTCCAGGGCGTTGCTGTGCCTTGCCCAGTCTAACCAATGTGCAGACTACTGTACAACGGCATTGTCCTGAACAGGTAGTCTGAACACTGGGCCGACGGGGCAGGAGCTCCAGAAGCTTCCATCTGGGCCCTTAAAATCCTCTCTCAGTCCCTGGGAACAGTTGCATTCGGCTCTCCCCCCTGGAGCCTGCTGCACTGACTGAGCCCCACTCCAGTGCTGTGATTTTCAGTCTTGACGTGGCACATTTGCTGCAGACTGGGGAACTGGCAATGAATTTAGGACCAGGAAAAGGGGGAGGGCTGGGCTGGAGAGTCCATATATGGGATGATGTCACCCTGGGGAGGTTTGGGTATGCGCTGTGCCGCTGGAGAGACCGCTAGAATCGCCTGCTCTCAGACATGGGTCTGTGCGTAAAATGGTACCAGATGTTCTGGTGTAATGTTAAACAGTCATTTCATCTTCAGGCCAGATTTTTTCCCTCAACCGGGCAGGAAGTGGGCCCCAGTATGGAAAAGCTGTAAAAAAAGAGTTGAGATGTACAGTTCTGCTGTGGCCAACTGAAAGGGAGTCAGCGGAGAAGGACAAATTTGCTGTCTGATCTGGGCTAGAAAGTCACTTGAAGACACAGGGTAGATAAGAAAGTAAACAGAACGCGGAGCCGCTGGAAGCCAGGGCTCCTTAGGAAACCTTTTTTTTTTTTTTTTTGGTGTGTGTGTGTGTGTGCGCGCGTGCGCGCGCGCGCGTGCGTGCTTTCCTGCGGTACTTTATTTTCTGGTGTTTCACTAGTCAAAAAGGGCAGATAAGTTCATTTTTTCCCCTTCTCTCTCTTTGTCCCTCCCCCTCCCCCTCCTCCTCCTCCTCCTCCTCCTCCTCCTCCTCCTCCTCCTCCTCTTCCTCCTCTTCCTCCTCCTCCTTGTCTGCTGGATCTGTCAGCGGCTTGCAGGCTGCTCTAGACTTGAACAGTAATTATAGTAACTTCCTGAAAGTGAAGCCCCCATGAAAAGTCTGGAGAAATGTTCTTTGTCATGGCCTCTCCATGAGTAATTAGTTCCACATGTGGCCTTCCTCCTTTCCCTCGGTGACATTGGCTGCTGCTCTGAACGCTGTGCTATAGCTTGACCTAAAGAAACTGGAAAGTTAGGATTGCCAGCCTCCACCATGAAATAATGACTCCAGGATCCCACCAAACTGCCTTTGGTAGATTCATGCTATTAGGTCCAGCGTTGTTTTTCACTGGTCATCCCCAATCCTGTGTGATCACTTTTTGTTTTGTTCTCATGGTGTTCTGCTGCTAGTTTTATCTCTGCTTGACTAAATCTGTTGAAATTTGCCAAGTGCCGCTTGACCAAAGGTTATAACGTATCAGCTCACAGGCATCTCCTTTTCTTCTCCTGTCCTTTCTGTTTTCAATTATATATACTGGTGACTATTCCGAGTGTACAGATCTGACTCTCCCATCATAGAATTCTGACTCAAGTTAGAGGTCCTCAAATGTGACCTTGATTAATTGCCCTTCCCAAGATCAAAATGTGAGAAAATTCCTAGGTAGCTTCCACATATAATTTGAGTAGCCCAACTAAGAGACTTGGTGTTTTCTAAACAATTACAGCCAAAGCGATTCATTTCTACTGGCCTTCTGCAATCCTTTTTAGAAGCAGAAAAGTAACACCTCTCTTTAAGTACTCTGGGTTGAATATTTCAAAAAGCTTCAAGAGAGAACTGTCTTAAAGCACTTGCTTTTCCCGAAATGTCTTTTCTTGAATGAACGTATCATGAAAGACTTCAAAAGTTATTACGAGCCCCGTTTACCTTGGGAGGAAGATGAAATAAGATACAAATGAATTATCCAGCAGTTTAAGATGGAATGGGGAGATTAGCCTCAGGTACATCATTCACAGAGGGATCGAAATCATCCATGGAAATCAGAAGCATTACCTCGTGTCCCTGTTCTTCAGCTTCCATACTTGTGTCTTCAGGGCCTAGTGCTTGAGCAGGCCCAGTATGCCTCAGCTCCTTATAGAATGCTGGAAACAGGCAAATGTGAGTACGTATATACAACAGAGTAGTCCTATTACATGTAGATACCAATTCCATCCCGTTTTAGTGTCTGTTTCTTCACAAGTCATCCTAGAGGAGCCACGAGCCAGAGGGACAGTAATTGGCCAGAAGCCCCGGCTTCCCAGGTGTGGGCTTGATTCTGCCACCATAGCGGAAGCCCTTCCTCTGCCCTCTGCTATTTATATCGATGAAACATGCCTTGGAAATTTTGGGTAAGGCAGATGAAAGGTGGTTCTGATCAGACTGCTCCATGATTTCATCTTGGTTCACACATCTGTATTTTCTCAAATAGGGAAGAGATCCCTTTCTCAAATAGGGGTTTTTATAATGTTTTATTCGAGGAACTCAAACTTAAATCCTTCCTCCTTTTGAAGCATTGTAAGAGATTTTTCTATAGAAACAAAAGTATAAAGATTGTGTCCCCTTAGCATATGAGCCTGTCTCACTGGGTATGCAGTTGAGTAGAGTGTTTTAGATTTATCTTTCCTCCAAATAGTTCAACTAGTATTTATTCCTGTTGCCTACTCATGTGCTAGTCACAGTGCCAGGAACTGGGCATATCACATTTAAGAAGATATGCCTTGGCCGGCTGGTTTTACTTGGTGGTTAGAGCCACGGCCCATGGACGGATGGGTCTCAGGTTTGATTCCCAGTCAAGGGCATGTACCTCGGTTATGGGTTCACTCCCCTCCCCTGGTCAGGGTGCGTACAGGACAGCCGGTCATGTCTCTCTCACATCAATATCTCTCTCTCCCCTCTCCTCCTCCCTCCATTCCACTCTGTCTGGAAAATCAGTGAAAAGAGTATCCTCGGGTGAGGATTCAAAAAATAAACAATGTTTAAGGAGGTATGATTCCTGCCCTCAAAGAGCTCACACTTACTTATGGTGTTAGGAATGCTAATCTGTGATCATGTTTAATCTAAAACGTTGCCTTGCCTCTACGGAAAGTTCTTGGCATTCCTTTGGAAATGGCCTGAGGACTTTTCCAGGTCTGTAAAGTTGTCAGTTAAATATGATGGGCTCTAGAAAGCAAAGTTAGTGATGACAAAGACTTGCCTTTGAAAACTGATGTTATTATTTAACTTATTTTAAAAGGTATTGACCAAACCGATTGTTTGCATCAATGGATGGTTTTGGTTGACTACAAACTTGCTCTGTTTTAAAATGTCTTGGAAAATAAACGGTTTCAGTTGGTTATTATTCCCAAGCTTGGCAAAATTTTGTGACTTTAGAAATTCTCAAATTGAAACCAGGTGGAGACTTGTTTCTATGTACTTATAAAGAAACAGGGTTATTAGTGTTTACAATTAGGGTGTTCTGTGACATCCACTTATGAACACTTCAGATAGTATTTATATCGCTTTAAATGTTTTGTTACAAGATTAGTGCCTGGGCCTTAAACTTTCAAACACTAGTAAGTAAGTTAAGAAAAAGTTCATTATTTCCTCCCCCCCCCCCTTCTGTTCTCCCAAATTAATAGTAATTTGGTGTGATTCTGTTTACCATCTTTGCAAGGGTCATTTTATAGCTTCCCTACAGATTACAAAATCCTTTCATATAAAATGTATCAGTTTCTTATAATCATCTTATGGGCTAGATACCATTCCCATTCCCATTTTATTGATGGTGAAAATCAAGGTTTAGAGAGGTAAAGTAATAACTTGGTGGAATTATAGTAAATAACAGAACGCAGCTTTTTTTTCTTTTTTTTTTAACTTAGATGCCTGTGATCAGAAGCATATTGTCAACCCACAGAGATGATTTTTCTCCCTACTGAATTCTTATGGCACTTAGAATTTCTGTTATTAATTTGTAGCCTTCTCTTAGTTTTGGACTGAAATGTTATGTGTACTATTTATTATTTTACATATTTGGATGCTTTCCCCCCAAATCTATATCTATAAAAGCCTAAGCTACTGAACGACCAGTCGCTATGATGCGCACTGACCACCAGGGGGCAGACTCAACGAAGGAGCTGCCCCCTGGTGATCAGTGCACTCCAACAGTGGGAGCTCCACTCAGCTGGCTGACCCATCCTGAACCCATCTCAGTGGTCCACCAGCTGGGAGACAGCCACTGACTCCCTCAGTAGTTCTATAGGTCCAATCTCTGGAAAACGGGCCAGGCACCAATGGACCTGTGCCACCAGCATGATCCTGACAGCACTGCTGGCCTCTAGGAAGTCGGCCTCAGGCACTGCGGCCACTTCCCCTCCCTAGACTCAGCAAGGAAGAAACAATATATAGTAAAAGCAGCCACCAAGTGGCTCCTGACAACCAGCGCAAATGTCAGCAGGACGAATCTGGATCCCAGGCCGGCAAAGGTGTCCTACCACCCACCCGGAGGGCCTAATGCATCCTGGCCCTCCCAACCCCCCTCAGGACCAGCGTCAGATGCAGGGCTCATGGCTGGTGAGCGCCGCTGCAGCAGTGCAAGCCTCTTCCGACGAGACTGACTGGGAGGGAGCCCACAGCAGGCGTAATGGGCCGGAATGAGTGGGACCAGCAGGCAGGAGCGGCAGGCGGCGTTGGACTGTGGGTTTCCACCCGATCCCCACAGGCCACCCCAAGGGACCCAACCCATGCATGAATTCGTGCACCAGGCCTCTAGTAAAATACAAGCTAATTGAAGACAAGAATAGTATCTTTATACTTTTTTAAAACTAGCCTATAGTAGGCCATCCATTAAACCAGCGATTTCAATTAGTGCATTGCAAGAATTTTTAAAACATGAATACCTGACTGTTTAGTCAAGGTGTACTGACCATTTTTCCTTAGATTGTCAAATAAAAAAATGACAACAGCCCACGCAACAATAGTCATCTAGTGTGAATGAGTCAAAATTATACCAGTACCTATATATTTGTAAGATTGGCAAAAAACACATTTTTTTGGCATGCCACAGAACTTTAGTAATTAGTCTATTTGTGCCACGAGTTGAAAAAGTTTGAAAATATCTGCATTAAACTGTGGGAAGATTGAGTAAAAGCTATGCATAGCATGCATGTGGTTTCTGACCTAACCTTTATCATGACAACTCAAGAGTTAAAGCTATCTAATTTTTATCTTAAATGAAAGCCATGGTGCAATTTTAACATTTATATACGTGTGTTGCTGTTATGTCTCCGATACATCAGCCTTTTAGAAATAAATGTGAACATCAGGCCAGCCATATTTCCTTGCTTATTTTTGGCCTTCTAATCTTCTGGAAGCATCCTGTGTAGCTATCGATCATACAATCTTGTGTGAAAAGCAGGATCTAACTAAGCTGTGCCATTTCCTTTCTCGTTGTTTTCTCCTTCCCAGTTTGTGTGTGAGATAAAA